ATAGGTATGTCTCCTTACCAACTGGTATATGGGAAATCTTGTCATTCACCAGTAGATCTAGAGCAAGGCGATGTATGAAATGAAGCAGTTAAATTTGGATTGGGGCGCCGCTTCTAATCAAAGAATGAATTACTTGAATATGCTTGATGAGTTTCTCCTAAAAGCTTATGAAAGTTCAGCCTTGTACAAAGAGAAGATGAAGAGGTATCATGATCAAAGAACTGAAAAGCGAGAATTTGTGGTTGGTGATCTTGTGCTTCTATTCAACTCTAGGTTGTGCTTGTTTACAGGCCAACTCAAATCCAAATGGACTGGGCCATTTTTGCTCACAAAAGTGCTCCCCCATGGAGAGGTTGAGCTTGAAAATAGTGATGGAACAAGGTTCATGGTGAACGGGCAAAGGATCAAGGTCTATTTGGGAAATGCTGAGAGCTTGCAAGAAGTGGTTCAGGCCTATCATCTTGATGAAGTCTGAGTAATCAAGAGGCATGCGTCGTGCCACGACGTTAAATCAAACGCTGCTTGGGAGGCAACCCAAGATGTACAATCTAGCCAACGATAGGATATAGTTTTTCTCTAGTAGTTTGCTTTGTTTGATTTCATCTCTGTATCAAATTAGATAGTTGTTTTAGTTTTGTACTAGTGTTAGCTAAAATTAGCATAGGGTCCGTGTCTAAAAGGTGTCCAGAAAATGTAAGAAGAATAGCCTAATGTTTGCTACATATGCAAGTACGCCATGAAAATTCTATAGAAAATGGTCTGGTGCAGAGGTCTACGGACCCCATCGACGGTCCGTCGATTCATCAACGGACCGTAAATGGTGCCCGTAGATCCCAGGTAAGCCTCTAATTTTTTTAAGTTTAAGAGTGATCTACGGTCCTCATCTACGGACCATAGATCGACTCACGGACCGTAGACGGGGTCTCGTGAATCTAAACCCTAAGGCTGTCTGACCCGACCCGGACCTCCCTATTTAAAAACCCCATGTTTTAAACCATTCCACTTCCCTCCATTACTCCCTAAACCGTTTCAACCATCCCATAACCTCCCTAAATCACTCCATAACTCCCCCATAATATCATCCCTTCCATAATTCCCCAAATTCCTTTCCATTTCGAATACAACTCATTCCATATTCCAAGGGTCCGGTGTTTGGTTAGTACCGAAGAGGTGATCCCTTGGTCTTGCTAAGCTTAGTGTAATCACACAATTAGCCCACTCTCCGTTGCTTGTAAGGTAATAGACTTTCCTCTCACTTTGAATTTCGATTCATAGATTGGATATAGAAAGTGGGGAGTTGGGTCTTGACCTTGGGTAATTGTTAGAAGAAATTGCATGATAAACTTGAAAATTACAATGCCCTCGGAATGATAGATAGTGATTGTGTAGCCTTATTGTATGTGATTGTAAGTCTAAATATAAGTTTCGACTTAGGGTTCCAAAGGTTGTCTAAACTATTTGGTAAAATGATCATTCGGAATCCTAAGAATGAAGAACTAGCATAATTGAATGTTGAAATGCATGATGAGACTTCGTTAATGTTGAAAAATAAGGCCAAATATGTATGATCAGAAATAAAGAATGGCTGAAACTTGGCACATATGGCATCTACGATACCCCGTCTACGGAACGTAAATCCATCTACGGATCGTAGATGAGGTTCGTGACTGGATGTACATGAAAAATTTCACCAAGTGTGAAACCGCGGATGTGGACTACGGTCCGTAGATCAATCTACGGACCTATATTGTTTCCATCTGCGACCTATATTGTTGGCCCCCTGATCCACGGAAGATATCCACGGACCGTAGATCAGTCTACGGACCGTAGGTCTCCTCCGTGGATGACCACTGTAGCCTCTGTTTGAAATCTTCTAGGGACTTTGTCACTGTTCGTTTATAGTTCTAAAAGTTTTTTTTTTGTTTGTTTATGGTTAGTTTTGGCACTAATATTGCGTCCACAGGTACGATGGCACCCAAGAAGCTAATCACCTACTCAAAACAGGGCAAGTAAAAATCTGTTGCTCCTAGCTTCAGGTTAATCGATGAGGACACGGACACGGAAAAGGATCCAACATATGTTCCTCCCAACACACGGACTTCTCCCACTACACCCCGTGTCACCAGAGACAGCCCCCCAGAAGGTGCTTCCCGAAGTAATCACTGTCTCCCAATTTGATGAGGAGCACATACAGTGCTGGATGCTTTATTCAGTGGGACCGCCGAGGAGGGGCTTGCACCTATACATGCCAAAGGCAAGCGGCACCGTTCTCATCGCACTGAGGAGGAGAAAGCTCAAAAGAGACAGCATAGGCAGGAGAAGGAGGCTAGGAGGGCTTCGCTTTTA